AAAAAAAAAAAAGACCAGAATTACTGGTCTGACAGAGACTGGAGAAGGCCCAAGAGTATGGCCCCTGGACACCCTTTTAACTCAGTACTGAAATCACTCCTTTTAACTCAGTACTGAAATCACTCCTGATGTTCACCCTTCAGCCAAAGATTAGACAGGCCTATAAAACAAACAATAACACATGTAGTTCAACCATGTATATGAGACTAAGTGGGCATACCAGTCCAAAAGCAAAGACAAGAAGGCAGGAAAGGACAAGAAGGCTGGATAAATGGAAATGGGGATGCTGAGGTCAAGAAGGGGAGAATGTTGACACATTGTGGGGCTAGCAACCAATGGCACAAAACAATATATATATTAATTGTTTAATGAGAAACTAATTTGCGCTGTAAACTTTCACCTAAAGCACAATAAAGAAAAATTAGTTAAGATTAAAAATTCAGTTCCTCAGTCATACTAGCCACATTTCAAGTGCTCAATAGCCACATGTGTCTAGTGGCAACTATACTTGACTGTGCAGATATAGAATGTTTTCATCATCAAATAAAGTTCTACCTACCAGTGCTGGAATACAATGCTCACCTCATCTGAAATTCAGGACTTCTCAGTCTTAAAACTCCTGTAAAAATCAGTAATCTGAAGGTTGCTTAGTGAGCATGGAGTCAAGGCCAGAGGAGGTTTGGTGGTCTTAAAAGCTGTTTCATCAAAGCCTTATGAATCAGCACTTCCTTACCACTGAGCACCCAACTTCTAGGACTATCAGTTGTATTTATCAGATTCAGGGTCTCTTGCTTTAGATAATTCCAGGTACTGTTAACTTCTGGCTCTCTCCACTTTCCGTTTTCTACTCTCTTGTCTTCTGGATTCCTCTTTGAAAGGATAGGAAGTGGGAAGGAAGAAGTACGTTTTGAAAGTTTTTCAATGTTTGTCAGCAAGGGATATGAGTTTTACAGGTTTGAGAAACACCACTTTAGGCCTTGTGTTCTCTTTTTCTCCTCTAGCAGAGTGTAATATAGTCAGATTATTGCTTACTTGCTTAATATCCTCCCATTTCAACTTCCATCTAAAGCTTCTCCTAGGTCACTATGATCATAGTTTTTGGTGTGCATATGCTTCAGTTATGCTTATACATAGGCCTGGGTTATGCTGAATTGCTGTTTATATTATTGGTGTGGAGTATAATTCTTACAGGTCAACAATAGTTCTCTTATTTCTGTATGCTTGGAGGGTGCCTCATGGTTATCCTATTTATCACCAAGAAGAGGTTGAGGATGTACAAAGTAGGCACAGTGAACTTTGGTTGGGTTGTGAGGGGTGCAAGTTATGGAGAGAAAATACAATAGCTGAACAGGGACCTTGGGCTGAAAAACAGCTGAAAAGATAAGATGTCCTTGGGCGTGTTTGACATTGATGGAAAGGAGCCAATAGAGAGGGAAGATTTGAAGATATTTGCAAAAGGGCATAATTGAAGAGTGAAGTCCTGAGAGGGCAGAAAGGAATGGGATTTAGCACAGAGCTGGGATTGACAGACAACCATGAGGGAGATCAACACTTAAGAAAGCAGTGCACGAAGAAGTGACTGGAGAGGCAGGCCAAGTACTAAGAGAGAATGTGTTATGGGAGATAGCAGAAGAAAGGAAGAGAACTGTTGCTAAGAGAAAAATTACATTTAGAACCAAAATTTATTTGAATTTAGCAAAAAGAAGGCCAATGTTGGTAATTTAATTGGAATGAAAAGAATGGAAGTGAGGCTAAGTGCATAGAAGAATGAATGAGAGGAGAGGAAGAGCGTGTGCAGACAATTGTTTCATAAACTGTGGCCCTGACGATGATGAGGCCAAGAGGGCGGTAACTGGAGGGGAAATGATTCAGGCAAGTTATTTTTAACTTAGGGCCTTGAGTCAATTTAAATGATGATGGAGTAGCAGTCAGTAAAGAAGTAGATGAAGATTCAGAAGAGGGGATATTCCAAAGAGCAAAGTTCCTGAGAAGTATGAATGAGATGACATCCAGCACACAGGAGTGAGATAACCTTTAGATAGGATGAGGAACACCTTATGCATGCTTAATTAAGGCCTCATGCTTAGTGTACCAAATAAGGGGAAAATAATGAGAATTCAGAGGAGCCCTACTTAACACTTGGCTGCTAACCAAAAGGTTGATGGTTCAAATACAAGAGCCACTCTGCGAGAGAAAGATGTGGCAATCTGCTTCTGTAAAGATTACAATGATGGAAACCCTATGGGGCAGTTCTACTCTGTCCTATAGGGTCACTATGAGGCAGAATTGACTTGACGGCAATGGGTTTGCTTTTTTTGTTTTTAATGAGAGTTCATTATCTAGGGAGTATTAGGAAAGGTAGGATTCTAAGAGCACTTGACTTCCCAGAGGCGGCTGCTGACTGTGGAGTGACAGACATTGTCAAAGATATAGTGTAACTTGGGGTTGAGCTTTGAGTTGCATTATTTTTATGGCATTCTAAATATGTTCGTGGAACAATACATTTTGGAGAATCTAGCCTTTTCCCACCAGTAATCTCACTCTCAAACTCTCATCTCTTGACTCTCAGTACCACAAGGGAGGCCCCATCATTGCTGTGCAGATGGAGAATGAATATGGTTCATATTATAAGGATAAAAAATACATGCAATATATTAAAAGGGTAAGTGCTCTTTAATTTTTCTCCATGTTTATATACTTCTTTTCTCAGTTAGTTTGTGAAGCAGACATCTCCTCAGTGCTTGTAGCTTGCATGTTACCATAGGGTATGAAGACGAATAAGGTCCAGTTTAATTTTTCCATGTGTTTACAATCTAGAGGGGACTGAGAACTACCTACACAACTCTAATGTGATGCAAAGAATGATGTTAAAATATATTTCCTTTCTGTGGATATAGCAGCTCTCTTTTGGTTAGGTTTGCATGATACATATTTTTCTATCCTTTTACTTTCAACTTGTCTATATTATATTTAAGACATGTATTTTGTAGGCAGCATATAACTAGAATTTAATTTTTGTTAATCAGGATGACAATCTTTGTCTTTTAAATGGAGTATTTGGGTTGTTTACATATAATGTAATTTGTATTTAAATCTACCATCTTGTTATTTTCTTTCTATTTGTCTCACCTATTTAATTGTTCCTTTTCTTTCCTTTCTTGCCTTCTTTTGGATCGACTGAATACTTTCAAAAAAATTTTTTTTATAGTGGTAAGTATATAGGTAACAGAATATTTGCTGATTCTGCCGTCTTCACGTATACAGTTCACTGACTGAATACTTTTTTATTATTCTATTTTCTCCTCTACTATCTTGTTATATCCACCACCCTTCTGTCAGTTTGTTGTACTGTGGTGGCTTGCATGTGGCTATGATGCTGGAAACTGTACCATTGGTATTTAAAATACTAGTAGGGTCACCCATGGTGGACAGGTTTCAGCAGTACTTCCAGGACTAAGGCAGACTAGGAATAAAGGCCTGGTGATCTACTTTCCAAAATTAGCCAATGAAAGCCTAATGGATCACAACAGAATATTGTCTGATATAGTGCTGGAGGATGAGCCCCTTAGGTTGGAAGGCATTATACAATAGCCACAAAAAGTAAATTCAGATATACCAATGATCATGAAGATGGTGCAGAACCAGGCGATGTTTCCTTCTGTTGTACATTGGGTAATCATGATTCGGAGTCAACTCTATGGCAACTAACAGCAACAGCAATAATCTTGTTATATATTTTCACTATTCTTTTAGTGTTTGCCATACAGATTACAGCATCCACCCTTAACTTATTGTCCAATATAAATTAATATGTTTGCCAGTTCCAGGGCAATGCGAACACCTCAGAACAGTTTAATTACATTTTCTTCCCTCCCACCTTAGTTGCTATTATTGTCATTTCTTTTAATGTTATATATATTTTAGATCACACAAGACATTATTATTATTATATACAGTTAATATTCATTTAGATTTGCCCATGTAATTTACTTTTTGCTGCTTTTTTCCCTCTACATCTTTTTTTTTTACTTTTTTTTAATTGTACTTTAGATGAAGGTTTACAGAGCAAACTAGTTTCTCATTAAACAGTTAATACACATATTGTTTTGTGACATTGGTTGCCAACCCCATGACATGTCAACACTCTCCCCTTCTCAACCTTGAGTTCCCCATTACCAGCTTTCGTGTCCCCTCCTGTCTTCTCTTCCTTAACCCGGGGCTCGTGTGCCCATTTAGTCTCGTTTTGTTTTATGGGCCTGTCTTATCTTTGGCTGAAGGGTGAACCTCAGGAGTGCCTTCATTACTGAGCTGAAAGGATGTCCAGGGGCCATACTCTTGGGGTTTCTTCAGTCTCTGTCAACCAGTAAGTCTGTTTTTTGTTTTTATGAGTTAGAATTTTTTTCTACGTTTTTCTCCAGCTCTGTCCAGGACCCTCTATTGTGATCCCTGTCAGAGCAGTCAGTTGTAGTAGCCAGGCACCATCTAGTTGTGCTGGACTCCGTCTGCTGGAGGCTGTGGTAATTGTGGTCTATTAGTCCTTTCGACTAATCTTTCCCTTGTGTCTTTGGTTTTCTTCATTCTTCATTGCTCCAGACAGGGTAGAACCAGTGGAGTATCTTAGATGGCCACTCACAAGCTTTTAAGACCCAAAACGCTACTTGCCAAAGTAGGATGTAGAACATTTTCTTTATAAACTATGTTATGACAGTTGAGCTAGATGTTTCCTGAGACCGTGGTCCCCACAGACCTCAGCCGAGTACTTTGGTCCCTCAGGGAGTTTGGATGTGTCTATGGAGCATCCATGACTTTGCCTTGTACCAGTTGCGCTGGCTTCCCCAGTATTGTGTACTGTCTTACCCTTCACCAAAGTTACCACTTATCTATTGTCTAGTTAGTGTTTTTCTCTTCTACCCCTCCGCTCTCTCATCACCATCAAATGTTGTTTCTTTCTGTGTGTAAACCTTTTCATGAGTTTTCATAGTAGTGTTCTTATACAATATTTGCCCTTTTGTGATTGACTTATTTCACTCAGAATAATGCCCGCCAGATTCATCCATGTTGTGAGATGTTTCGCAGATTCATCATTGTTCTTTATTGTTGTGTAGTATTCTATTGTGTGTATGTACCATAGTTGGTTTATCCATTCATCTGTTGATGGGCAACTAGATTGTTTCCATCATTTTGCTATTGTTCACAATGCTGCAGTGAACGTGGGTGTGCATATGTCTATGCATTTGACAGCTCTTATTTCTCTAGGATATATTCCTAGAAGTAGGATTGCTGGATCATATGGTATTTCTATTTCTAGCTTTTTAAGGGAGTACCATATCATTTTCCAAAATGGATGTACCATTTTGCATTCCCACCAACAGTACATAAGAGTTCCAGTCTCCCCGCAGCCTCTCCAACATTTGTTATTTTCTGTTTTTTGATTCATGCTGGTAATGTCAGGGTAACATGGTATCTCATTGTGGTTTTGATTTGCATTTCTCTAATGACTAGTGATTGGGAGCATTTCCTCATGTATCTGTTAGCCGCTTGAATGTCTTCTTTGGTGAAGTGTCTCTTCATATCCTTTGCCCATTTTTTGATTGTATTATTTGTCTTTTTGTTGTAGAGGTGTTAGATTTTCCTGTAGATTTTAGCTATTAGACCTTTGTCGAATTTGTCATAGCACAAATTTTTTTTCCCAGTCTGTAGGTTCTCTCTTTACTCTCTTGGCGAAGTCTTTTGATGAGTATAAGTTTTAATTTTTAGAAGATCCCAGTTATCTAGCTTATCTTCTGATGTTTGTATATTGTTAGTTATGGTTTGTATCCTATTAATGCTGTGTATTAGGGCCTCTAGAGTTGACCCTATTTTTTTTTATGATCTTTATAGTTTTTGGTTTTATATGTAGGTCTTTGATCAATTCTGAATTAGTTTTGTGTGTGTGGTGTGAGATATGGGTCCTGTTTCCTTTTTTTTGCAGATGGACATCCAGTTTTGCCAGCACCATTTGTTAAAAAGACTGTCTTTTCCCCATTTGATGGACTTTGGGCCTTTGTTGAAGATCAGGTGACCGTAGGTAGGTGGATTTACATCTGGGTTGTTCTCTCGACATCTTTGAACTTTAATTGCTCCGAACATTTTTCTCTTCCTGAAGAGCATCTTTTAGTATATTCTTTGGTGCAGATATGCTGGTAACAAATTCTTTCATCGTTTGTTTGTCTGAAAATGTCTCTAGTTCACCTTCATTTCTGAAGGGTGTTTTTGCTGTATATAGAATTCTAGGTTGGCAGTTATTTTCTTTCAGATTCTTCCAGCTTCCATTGTTTCTGTTAAGAAACCAGCTATCAGTAAAATGATTGTTCCTTTGAAGGTAATGAGTTGTTGTTTTTTCTGGTTTCTTTTAAGAATTTTTTCTTTGGTTTTCAACAGTTTTACTAAGATTTTCCTAGGTTGATTTTCTTTCTTTTTATTCTGCTTTCATTATTTTGTACCCTTTAATTTGTGATTTGAAGTCTTTCTTAAGCTTTGGGAAATTCTCAGCAATTATCTGTTCCATTTTATCCCTTCTCGCCTCTGTGACTTCAGTGATGTAAATGTTAGATGTTTTCATCAAATTCCACATATCTGTTATATTTTCTGGATAATTTCTTCTAAGCTGTCTTTTAGTTTATCATTTTTTCTTCAGCTTTATCTAACTTGATGTTAAACCCATCCATTAAGTTCTTAATTTCAGATAGTTTTCATTTTAATTTCAGATAGTTTTCATTTTTAGAATTTCCATTTGATTCTTTTTATAATTTCTAGTTCTTTGCCAAATTTTTCAATTTTTTCTTTAATTCATTGAATATGTTAATTTTAGTTGTTTAGTTGTTCATGGTTTTCAGAAAAATATTGTCTTCTGGTATGCCTAATAATTTTTTTATGCAGTGTCAGACATTTATGTGTGAAAACATTATTGGGGCCATTTGAGGCTCTTGATAATCTTCCAGAAGGATTTGTTTTTGCTTCTGGCAGGTATTTGCAATGATCTGAATTTGAGCTTCAATCTTTTGAGAGATAGTCTATTTCTGGTTCACTCTTACTCCTAGGAGGTCCCAGCTGAAAGCCCAGGGTTTGTCAGGGCCCCTCTGCTTTGACAGTCCCTGAATGACAGTTTCTTTCCCCAAGTCTCATAAACTCTGCCCAGCATCTCAGTCTCTCAGCTGCTGCTTTAGGAATCAGCCAGTGTCTCAAGGGAAAAGCAGTGGCATATGCTGGGCTCACCTCTCTAGGCTTTCTTCCTCCCTCTGGCCTTGGTTCCTCAATTCTTCACGGCCTTGGTATATAGTCAGAATCCTCAAATGAGTTTGTAAAAGGTATTTTTTTTCCAGCTTGTCTGGTTGTTGTTAGAAAGAAGATTAGCCTGTCATTCCTAGAAGTGGGGCCTGTTGCTCTCCCTGTGGGTGGTGCACTACGCATCCTAGCTTGTCCAGGAGAGCCCAGGTTATGCTGGTTGTCCCAGCAGAATTATTATTAATGACATTTTTCACTCACAAGTGTGCTGGTTTGGATGACAAGCTATATGGTCACCTACCAGTAAACCATGTTACTCATATGAAACATTGCAATCTGACAGGACCTTATGGTAGTGGGAAGGAGTGATAGTGGTTAATATATGACACACTGGCTCCTCTCACGTATTAGATTTACCTCTCTGCCTCCTCTATTCAAAAAAGTTCAGTAGAAACAAACAACCTCATCATACCCAACAAAGTCCTCTAGAGTAACTGCAGGAATATTTTCCCCTTCACGATATTTTGATCCAGAGACTCTGGGGAGAGCATGCCTCCGACTTTCCTTAGCATCCATGTCCGCAATCTCAGTTTTCCCCCTTCAGCAGATAAGTCCCTTAGCCTTTTCTCTCTGTCTTTGATTTAGACTCTTCCTCAAAGTGTTTCTAGGTATATGAGATATGAAGGGTCTTGTGAAGCAACAAATATGTCTGTGAATTGACTAAGCCAAAATTTCCTGCCCCAGCCATTGACCACAGGAGACTGGCAGTTGTGTCCACAGATCTGTCCTGTGAATGGAGTCCATGGATGTGGTTAATTTAAGTGTAAGTCTGGAGAAAAGTGTTTGTCCGAAGTTCCCAGGCACACTGGTGAAAGTGAAGAATTAAGATACTTAGAGGAACGCTGCATCGAAGTTAAAGCAAACAGTTCCAGTGCCTCTTCTTTGAGATTTGAAATTTAAATAGTCACTTTGACATTTCTGAGTGTGGCTGAGACAGGAATGTTTCTACACAAATTTGTAAATTACAAGCAGTCAGATGGGGAATTAGACCTTCATCTCCATTCCTTGGCTTCATTCTAGTATTTTTATTGTGGTAATATTTTCCAGAGAGAAGCAATACCGTTGGGTCGGCCACAGTTCATTTTATCTTCTTGAGTTTCTCCATAGGCCCTGGTGGAAAGAAAGATCCAGGTGCTGCTCATGACTGCTGATGATGGACAAGAAGTGACAAAAGGCCACTTAAAAAACGGTATATGTTTGGTTTTGCCCTACTTATTCTACTAAAGTCTGAAATATAACCAGGAGTCCCTCTGATGCCTCCTCTTTTCCATTTCCCATTGAAGTAGACCCCACAGTCTTTGGGTACAATGATGGGACTCCTGGTCAATGCTGAGAGTTAAAGAGCCAGTTCCCTCCCCACAGAGCATCATCAACTTCGCAGAATACTCAATCCATCCTCCCCAACCCCTCAGTGGCCCAGAGCAGGGGCCCTGGCTGGGACCCGAGAAAGGCCATCTCTGTCATTGCCAAGTGGCTGTGACTGAGCACAGAAGTAATGCAGTGTCAGAGAAATAGCACTGTCATAGACCCAGCCCCAGGAGCACATGGTCTGAGATGGGGTAAACAATTCTGGTGAATAAGAGTAGTAGAGATATATGGGATAGGACTACAAGGAGGAAACATGGGTTGATATGCAAGGAAGTGGAAAAAGGTAATACACAGACAGATGGAGCCAGAGAAAAATGCTTTTTGGAATTCTTTAACCCAAGCAATTCTGTGAGGTGCTTTTTCCTTTCGTCTTCTCTCCCTAAGAATTTTCAGATCCCTACACCCTGGTGGCATAGTGGTTAAGTGCTACAACTGCTAACCAAAAGGTCGGCAGTTCGAATCCACCAGGTAGTCCTTGGAAACTCTATGGGGCAGTTCAACTCTGTCCTATAGGGTCGCCATGAGTCAGAATCGACTCGATGGTGATTATTAGTTATTAGTTTTAGTTTACACCCCATCTCATAGTGAGAGAGGCAGAATAATATTCTGAATTAGAAGTCAGGAGACCTGTAGTCAAGTTTAGGTCTTAGGCTGTTCACCTCCCTGGGCTTCAGTGTATTCATTAGCATGACGTTGTGTATTTCAGTGGCTCTTCTTACTTCTCTGGGCCATTCACTGTAAATGCTAAATGAAGTCCTTTGCAAACTGCATGGTTGAATAAAGGCAGGATAATATCTTTATCATTAATCATAAACCATAAAGTATCAACTGTGAGATGCCTGCGAGGTGTGTGTGGGAGGTGCTGGGGCCCAGCTCTTGTTCTGGGTAAAGAGTACGGCATCCCCCACCTGGCAGTGGTTGTGGCAGGACCTCCTCAGAGCATCTCCTTTCACTCCGCAGTGCTTGCCACTCTCCATATGAAGAATATCAACAAAGAAACTTATCAAAAACTGTTTTCGTTTCAGGTGAGAACCTTTCAGAGATGGGGGACTTTTTGATTCTTGCTCATGCTAGGACCTCTTAGCTCATTTACTGGCGCAATTCTCAGTAGTGATTAGATCAGCCAAAGCCTGGATGCATGTGCCCTTGCAATGCTTACTCTAGGTGATTTTAGGTTCAATTAAATCAAACTCATATGCCCACAGTAGACCATCCCTGGCCCCTAGCCTCTTAAAAGGAAATAGGCCAGGAAGCACAGCACACTAGCTGGGCAGAGCCAGTCAGGTCTCTTCAGTGGGAGTCCTCACAGGAGCCCAGAGGCTCTTCTCCCCCAAATCACCGCCCAGGTGCAGGGAATGGGAACACATGCATGAATGGGAGCCACATTGGCAGAGGAGCCTCAAGCTCAGTGTAGGAACCACTATCCCTCATAGTGGCCCTATAGACACAGCTTCCAGGAGTGGTCAGGGGAACTCCTGGCTTCCAGATACATTGAATGCAGGGAAGCCCAAAGCTATGGCTTCCCACCAGGAATGTAGAGGTCATTTATAGTCCTTCAGTCCAGATTCAACTTACTAATCAGAGGTTATTTTTATCAGAAGCAATCTGCCTAACATAGGTACCATTCTACCTTTTTCAGGTGCTCAAGTGATCAGAATAGAAGGTGGACCCAAAGTCAGATTGCATGGGGAAGAAGAAAGGTTTTTGTAACCCTTTACTCATAGCCCCATTCACCTGTAACTCTTATGGTCCAATGAGAAAGACAAGACATGTAAATGAACAGAACAAGATAGGAAATATTAATTGTAATAGAAGCATTAATGGGTAATTAGAAACCAGAGAGTGGAGAGATTTCTGCTGCCAGAGGAGAGCAGTGACTTGTTAATCAAATCATTTATTAATTACCCATCAACATAAGGCAGTGCCAGGAACTCTAAAAATAAGTTAAATACTAAATCCCAATATCCTGCAGTCTGAGACAACACTAAGACTTAGAAAAAAAGTACAAAGGGCCATGGACAGCTGCTTAAGGATGGCACCAACATCATGGAATGGTGTGAATGGTGCCAGGACACGCAGGGACTACCATGAGGGCATCCCAGAGAGTGTGCAGAGGGAATACAATTCCTGGTGCAAGGTGAGCCCTCAGGTAGGTACTGGCTTAATGATGATGAAGCAGGAAGAATGGGAATCAGGAGTGAAAAGTTATATGCTGTCTCTAATGAGCAAAATCCTGAAGATGAGCTCATTCACCATTCAGTTGATCTGTTAATAAATGTTTCTGTCACCTTCCATGTGTTGGTTAGGCAGTGTTTTAGGCATTGTGGATAAAGCATTGAACAAAACCTACAAAATCACCACTTCCAGAGCTTATATTCTAGTTGGAGGAGACAATAAACAAATAAGGGCAAATATAGAGTATGAGATAGTAACAAGAGCCAGGCAAACATCATGTATCTATGTGTAAAGCTTTCAATTTACTTAATCCCTCCACACATTTTTCATGTTTAATTCTTAAGTTTACCTTATAAGAAGCTATTGCTCTTATTTCCACTTTACAGATGAGAAAACAATGGCTCATAAAGGTTAAGTTACTGATCTGAGCTCACACTAGACAATCAAAATGATGCAGAAGAGACAGTCCAAACCCAAGTCCCATCCTCTTGTCATTACATAATGCCATTCTCCATCTCATCGCCTCTTTTGGTGAGAGAAAGGTTTAATAAGGTATAGGGTTAATCATAGGAGTCAAATAATGAAAATGAGAACCCACGCTTTAGCAAATGAATTGTAATTTGTTTCCAGTGCATTTCTTGTGCTTGACCAAGAAAGAGAACAACATTAGAGGAACAGTTCTTAGGACAGATGCTGTAACAGTAAGTGAATAGTGGGAGAAAGCAGGGCTTTTGAGTCCACCATTTTGTTTTCATATTTTCTAGCAAAGAGAATCCTCTCCAAACTGGACAAGGAAGAGCCAATAGAGTAAAGGAAGAGCTAAAGCTGGAACCAAATGTTAACTGTTTCCAGTTTAATCAGAATGAGTGCTGGTCCAGGTGCCACGCTAGGCTCTCTATATGTACTGATACTCAAACAGACATGGTCCTTGCCTTTGGGGAGACTAGATCTGGTTTTTTTCACAGCCTTGGAGGGCTCTGTTGCTGTCTTTATTCTGATCAATATTCTCATGAGAGAAGATACAGAAATCATGTTTATAAAGGGCCCTGAGGAGACTGTCCTGGAAAGCAGTGTTAATCCACCAAATGATGGGATCTTCTGTTTCTCAGTAGGTTGAAATCAACAAAGAGTAATGGTAAAGTCCCTGCATTAAAATAAAACAAAGCAATAGTAACAAAGCTAAAGGACCAAATGCAGAAATGAAGAGATTCAGCTTGAGAGCAGTTTATGTTTTAGGAAGTTATTTGACCACAAGCTCCACCCAAATCAAATCTATGACATCTGTTGCCTAGAGTTTTGAAAACTTGGGTTTTATTAATGGAAATGACATTCCCACAGTTCTCCATACTGGTAAAAATACATTTGGAGTATTTGTTTTCTGTTTTTCTGCTCAGGCCATCATATCTCAGGAGGTATTTTAACAAGGTGGAATACTTCCAGGAAATCTGTGTTAGGGATTATGTAAGGATGAACTAAAGGAACTAGGAAGGAGTCTCACATTGAAGATAACTCAGTTGGTGGGCATCTTCAAAATTTTGGGCTGTTTTCATGTGAGAGGGAAATTCTTTGTAGTGCCAGAGAGCAGAATTAGTTGCAATGGGTAAAATTAATAAGAAAACATAAATTGGCTCAATATAAGGATTATAATTTCTAACACAGAAAACTGAACAGTGTCTAGAGAATGACTGCCAGCAGTCCAATATTTAGAGATGCCAATGCATACATAAGGTGGGGAGTAATATACGAGAACACCTCAAATAAAAAATAATTTCTAATATAAGGACATTGATTTGAGAACTCTGCTATTGAGAGGACGGAAGCTGCAGTCACCTAAATTAGGTGGCCTCAGTTTAATCAGCCTTAAAGGATTGAGAACATTATTTTTGGAATTCAATATAATTTTTTTTTAAATATTGAACAAAATATGTCCAAGGAGAAATATAGATAAAAATAAGGCCAAATCACAGATTTTGTGGTGAATCAAGTTGGAGGGTTCTGCAACCTTTCTGGAAGCATTTGACAGGTTAGGCAATAACACAGATATTACAGGAGATGGTTGAAAGGGTACCAGAGTTGGAGGTTGTGATAGCCACAAGGGCAGAAATTCAAAGGACTGATTACTTTTACAGTCTTAGAATAAGCAACGGGTGTTCAGTCTGAATAGAGGCTAGTAAGTCCCAAAGGATTGCAAAGATGAAGACTAGAGGGGACACAGTGACAGGAAAGGGAAGAGTGGGAGCCATGAGATACATGGGAAACTGGGTTTCTGGAATGCCCATTTAATAGGATTCAGCATTTTTGGTAATAATTCATTGAACATTTTTAGGGCTTCCTCTGTGTCAGACAGTTGCCTACTAGACCTCTACTCTGAACACTCAAGAGAGTCTTTGGTTCTAGAAAGGGCAAGGTTGAAATGGCAGTTAGTTTTACCCAGCCTAGGCAGGAAGGCCATTGAAGGCAAAAGAGGACCAAAGAGACCAGGAATATGACATGAGAGGGTGAGTAGTTCTCAGAGAGTCTGTAAGCAGAGAGGGAATGCTCCAAGTTGTAAAGGTGGTCTGAGAACTGGAATTTACAATTACCTTCTAAGCAATTCAGGGCTTTCTGAATTGCACCACACTTTTCCCAATTGATATTTCATTTTTTTCTCAGGGTCTTAGCCCTGTATTAATGACAGTATATACAGCAAGCTCCTTTGACACATGGGGCCTTATCCGCCGCACTCTTGATTTGCATGGTGAGTATCCCTTAGCTTCTTTTTCAGGAGAATAGAACTACACAGATTGCACAGGCCTATTTTTTTTCTGCTGATTAGTATACTTGAGATTTATGAGACAAGGATCTTAGATGTCATAGCTTTATAAGCATCAACGTGATTAAATAGACATCTTGAAGACATCTGTACCATAAAATGACTGCATAGAATCGGCATCCCATAGATCATTTTAATTGAAGTTGAAATTTTAGCAGGATTTCTATTCTAATTCCATTTGTTGAGGCTATTAATCAGAGTGAATTGTTCTGACAACTAGAGAAATTCCATGAAAGTGTGTTGGATGGAAGTAGAAAGTTATTTGGTCTGAGATTATCCACCAAGTCCGAGTATTGGCCATGGTCATTAAAATGTGGTTTGAAGAGAAATGTTCCTGGTGCCGTGATTTCAGATACATCTTTGTCAGAAGTTACCAAGTGCTTCCAAAACACTTAACCTGGACATATATTTCCCTAAGACAAAGATATACAAGTAATTATGCAAGTTTGTTTGATAGGAAAAAAGTCTTCCAAAATGTGAAACACAGAAGAAAATAAAAAATGACTTTGGTATGAAAATGATGCTGGGAATAACTCCACCAATTCTTCCCAGGGAATTCTAGCTAAACCCACATGTTTTCTGAGCATTAAATCTTGGTAGATGTTGAAGGACTGAGCAATTAAGTTGAATATTTTGGGTCAAGATGATTTGGAGATCCCATTGAGGGGTTATTAACACCTCTCATACTCTTAATTCTCTGTCCCATTCTCCTTTTCTTCTTACCTATCTGCAGTGTTGATGAAAGACGTGCGTGAGATGTTCAAGCTTAGGTTCTCCCTCAACTTCTATATGTTCCATGGTGGCACCAACTTTGGCTTTATGGGCGGAGCTATGTCTTCAAAAAACTATGTCTCTATGGTCACCAGCTATGGCAAGTACTTGTCCCTGAGTTGTCTCCAGCCTTTTCCACCCCACCATTTGAGACTGGCCCTGAGAACAATCTCAGGAACTGTTAGTTTTTCTTTAACATATGCTAGAGATTGAGAATTTGATATTTGGTCCTCTTGACAGTACTAGAATTTATACACCACTAGACTCTAGGCTTTCTGGGACTTTGCAAGTAGAGAAGACAGTAGCCTACTCTTGTTCATCTGCTGCATAGACTCTTGTTTTTAGAGGTCTGTTGTAGAACAGGCTCTTCTGGGTATCGCACTAGGGTATAGACTAATAGTTCTTTCCCAATCTATAACTCTACTAATAGACCAAGAAGCAAGCTGAGGGTGGAAGAAATGAAAGAGTTCAACTGGAAATTTAATAGAAAGGAGGAACCATTGGATGAAAGTAGCCTCGAGTTCTCAGCCAGGGGTTTACTAGAGGTTCATGGGCTTGTGCTATTTGCCTCCTATTGAAAGCCCTGGAAAGCATGGTAGTCTCTCCTGGGTTGAACTGACTGGGACACAGGCACAGCTTTCAGGAAGATGGTGAGTTGGCATTTTTTTTGTATAATGCCGAAAGTTTTTTCTCCCCAAAGCTGCTATATTAAGGATCATTTTACTTGATACTAAACTCTCATCCTTTCCTTTGCTGAAGCTGGGGTTTTACTGGCAGAAGTGACACATTTCCTTATATTTTTCAGACTATGGGGCACTGCTGACAGAGGATGGAGACTACACCCCTGAGTACCTCGCATTTCAAGAGTATTTTAGCTCTGTTCTAGGTACCCAGTAACAACCTCAATCTGAACAAAACCTCAGCCCCTTTAGCAGCCTCTGTCCTGTGAAGAGAGGAGTGAGGGAATGGGGAGAGATCTTTTTGGGAGATGTCTAGTTTTCTCCAATTCGTTGTATCAGAAGGCACCAGGATTCAGATATGCACGTGGCACAATGCCTGCCTTCTAGGTGCTCAACATAGAGGGCCGAGTTGATAGTGAAGGCTGTGCATCAGAATCCTCTATGGAACTTCTAAAGCCCAGAGGTACCCAGACTCTGCCCAGAGCCATTAGAGGAGTATATCCTGGTTGGGCTGGGGAGGAAGGGGTGGCATCTGGGCATGGGTATTTTCCTATTGGTCTTTAGGAGATTCTCATGAACAGCTGGGTTGCGAACTACTGGCCCAGCGCATGCAACTGATGTGCCACCTCCTTTTCCAGGATAGCAGGGCATCCTGCCTAGCCTAGGGATATAAAATGAATCCCACCAACTCATAGCCTGCCTCATGACTCCTCCTGAAATTGGGGAGTCATGTCCTGAGACTGAGCCCTTCATTCCTGGTGGCTTTGGGATAGTAGAGTATGATGTGCCATTGAATGGGGTGGGATAAGGGATCCTGGAATGCTCAACTACCTATTTTTCATTTCAGTTGTTCCCACACACCTCCAACCAGAACGTAAACCTAAGGCTATGTATAAGTCAGTGATACCATCACACTACTTGTCACTGTGGGATATCCTGCCCTACCTGGAGAAGGTGAGCAGTTCCTGGGCATAGAAACATAAATAACCTTTGGACAGAAGAAAAGAGGGGAAAGGCTTAGCCCACAAAACAGAGATACTGTCTGGCTGCAGTATTTACCAGCTCTGAGACCTTAGGGTGGTCATTTAATGTCACTGTCCCTAAGTTTCCCCATCTGTAAAATGAGGCTAATAATAGTACATACTTTAGAGAGTTGGGTGGATTTAATAGTTAATATCTGTACCTGGCACATAGTAAGTGCTAACGATGTGTTAGCTGTTGTTAAGTTTTTTATAGAGATATTATTTTATAGATATTTTAAATAGATATATACAGAGATATTTATATTTAATTGATATTTATATGTATATGGATTTTACATATACATAGATATAAAGAGTATTTTTATAGAGCATATCGGACAATCGGTGGGTCCAAGATTACATCCTAGGTGAAGTGACTTTGAGATCTAAAGGGTGAATACATGCTGATGAGATGACAGCAGGGCAGAGTGGGAGAGGTCAAGGGGCGTTTCAGGCACAGTGGACACCATTTGAAGACACAGACAAAACTGTGTGTTTGGAGACCTGCAAATAGGATTGGAGAGAAAGGTCTTTATGGGAGAGTGGTGGGAAGGGAACCAGGCACTACATACTTTAGGGCCTTTGTGGTTTTGTTTTTATCTTTTCTTATGGAATTTTAAAAAACATAAACAAAAGTAGAGAGAATAGTAGTGGACCCCCCCCATGTGCGAAACACCCAGCTTCAACTTTATCAGTGTTGCACTAATCTTGTTTCATCTATACCCTTACTCATTATTCCAATCCTCTACAGGATTATCTTAAAGCAGATCCCAGACATCATATAATTTCAGCTGTAAATATTTCAATATGTATCTCAAAAGATAAGGACTCTCTTTAAGACATAACTACAAAATCATTATCACCCTCAATAATAATAACAACAATAATAATGTTGTTGTTAGGTGCCATCAAGTTGGTACCCACTCACACTGACTCTGTGTACAACAGAATGAAACACTGCCCGGTCCTGCACCATCTTCGCAATCATTGCTTTGTTTGAGTCCGTTGTTGCAGCCACTGTGTCAATCCATCCCTTTGAAGGTCTTCCTCTTTTTTGCTGACCTTCTACTTTACCAAGCAGGATGTCCTTCTCAGGGACTGGTCCCTTCTGATAACATATCCAAAGTATGTGAGATGAAGTCTCGCCATCCTTGCTTCTAAGGAGCATTCTGGCTGTACTTCTTCCAAGACAGATTTGTTCCTCTGGCAGTCCATGGTATATTCAACATTCTTTGCCAACACCATAATTCAAAGGCGTCAATTCTTCCTTATTCATTGTCCAGCTTTCACATACCTATGAGACAATTGAAAATATCATGGCCTGGGTCAGAGTACCTTAGTCCTCAAGGTGACATCTTTTCTTTTTAACACTTTAAAGAGGTCTTTTGCAACAGATTTGCCCACTGCAGTACATCATTTGATTTCTTTTTTTTTTTCTTTTTTTTTTAAATTTTAAATTTATTTCATAATCAAAGAAATTACAGTAAATTTTAAAATACATTGAAGTATCTTTTTTCCCCTACCAAATGAACCTAGATTTATTTTTGGAATGTATGTTGGTACTTTGCTGACATGATCTTGGAAATATGAAAAATCACACCTCAGAGAGTGCAAATTGAAACCAACTTTTTTTAAAATTTTGCTTTAGATGAAGATTTACAGAGCAAACTAGTTTCTCATTAAACAATTAATACACATATTGTTTTGTGACATTGGTTGCCAACCCCATGATGTGTCAACACTCTCCCCTTCTCGACCTTGGGTTTCCCATTAGCAGCTTTCCTGTCCCTTCCTGCCTTCTCATCCTTGCCCCTGAGCTGGTGTGCCCATTTAGTCTCATTTTGTTTTATGGGCCTGTCTAATCTTTGGCTGAAGGGTGAACATCAGGAGTGACTTCAGTACTGAGTTAAAAGGGTGTTGGGGGGCCATACTTTCGGGCTTTCTACAGTCTGTCTCAGACCAGTAAGTCTGGTCATTTTATGAGTTAGAATTTTGTTCTACGTTTTTCTCCAGCTCTGCCTGGGACCCTCTATTGTGATCCCTGTCAGAGCAGTCGGTGGTGGTAGCCAGGTGGTAGTTGTGTTGGACTTAGTCTGGTGGAAGCTGTAGTATTTGTGGTCCATTAGTCCTTTGGACTAATCTTTCCCTTGTGTCTTTGGTTTTCTTCATTCTCCATTGCTCCGGACAGGGTGGGACCAGTGGTGTATTTCAGATGGCCACTCACAAACTTTTTAAGACCCAAAACACAACTAACCAAAGTAGGATGTAGAACATTTTCTTTATAAACTGTGTTATACCAATTGAGCTGGATGTTCCCTGAGACCGTGGTCCCTAGCCCTCAGCCCCGTAACTCGGTGCCTTGGGAGTTTGGATGTGCTGTGAAGCTTCCATGACCTTGGCCTTAGTCGGGTTGTGCTGACTTCCTGAGGATTGTGTACTGTCATACCCCTCACCAAAGTTAACATTTATCTATAGTCTAGTTAGTGTTTTTCCATCCCCAACCCTCCCCTCCTCATAACCATCAAAGATTGTTTCTTTCTGTTTGTAAACCTTTTCATGTGTTTTTAAAATAGTGATCTCATACAGTATTTGCCCTGTAGTGACTGACTTATTTCACTTAGCATAATGCCTTCCAGATTCATCTGTTTTGTGAGATGTTTCCCATATTCATAGTTGTTCTTTATTGTTGAGTAGTATTCCATTGTGTGTATGTACCATAGTTTGCTGATCCATTCATCTGTTGATGGGCACTTAGGTTGTTTCCATGTTTTTGCTATTGTGAGTAATGCTGCAGTGAACATGGGTGTGCATATGTCTGTTCGTGAGATGGCTCTTATTTCTCTAGGATGCGTTCCTAGGAGTGGGAATGCTGGATCATATGGTCTTCCTTATTCATTGTCCAGCTTTTGCCTGCATATGAGGTTATTGAAAACACCACGGCTTGGGTCAGGCACACCTTAGTCCTCAAAGTGACGTCTTTGCTTTTTAACACTTTAAAGAGGTCTTTTCCAGCAGATTTGCCCAATGTAATACCTCGTTTGATTTCTTGACTGCTGCTTCCATGGGCGTTGATTGTGGATACAAGTAAAAAATGAAATCTTTGACAACCTCAGTCTTTTCTCCATTTGTTGCTTATTGGTCCAGTTGTGAGGATTTCTGTTTTCTTTATGTTGAAGCGTAACCCATACTGAAGGCTGTAGTCTTTGATCTTCATCAGTAAGTACTTCAAGTCCTGTCCGCTTTCAGCAAGCATGGTCATGTCATCTGCATATTGCAGGTTGTTAATGAATCTTCCACCAATCATGATGCCACATTCTTCTTCATATAGTCCAGCTTCTGACATTATTTGCTCAGCATACAGATTGAATAAGTATGGTGAACGGATACCACCCTGACACAGACCTTTCCTGTTTTTAAGCTGCGCAGTATCCCCTTGTGTTGTTTGAACGACTGCTGCTTGACCTATGTACATGTTCCTCATGAGCACAATTAAGTGTTCTGGAATTCTCATTCTTCACAGTGTTATCTATAATTTGTTACGATCATACAGTCGAATGCCCTTGCAGAGTTACTAAAACGCAGATAAACATCTTTCTGGTAGTCTCTACTTTCAGCCAAGATCTGTATGACATCAGCAAAATGATATCCCTCGTTCCACATCCTCTTCTGAATCCGGCTTCAATTTCCGGCGGGTCCCTGTCAATGTGTTGCTGCAACAGTGTTTGAATGATCTGTAGCAAAATTTTACTTGCATGTGACATTAATGATATTGTTCGATAATTTCCACATTCTGTCGGATCACCTTGCTTTGGAATGTGCGCAAATATGGATCTCTTCCAGTTGCTTGGCCAGGAAGCTGTCTTCCAAATTTCTTGGCATAGACAAGTGATCACTTCAAGTGTTGCTTCCATTTGTTGAAACATCTCATTTGGTATTCTGTCAATTCCTGGAGCTTTGTTTTTGCCAATGCCTTCAGTGCAGCTTGAACTTCTTCCTTCAATACCATTGGTTCTTGCTCGTATGCTACCTCCTGAAATGGTTGAACATTGACCAGTTTTTTTTTGGTATAGTGACTCTGTGCATTCCTTCCATCTTCTTTTAATGTTTGCTGCGTTGTTCAATGTTTTGCCCATAGAATTGTTCGATATTGCAACTCCAAGCTTGAATTTTTCCTTCAGTTCTTTCAGCTTGAGAAATACCAAGCATGTTCTTTCCTTTTGGTTTTCTAACTCCAGGTCTTTGCACATGTCATTATAATATTTTACTTTGTCTTCTTGAGCCACCTTTGAAATCTGTTCAGCTCTTTTATTTCATCATTTCTTCAGTTTGCTTTAGCTACTGGACTTTCAGGAGCAAGTTTCAGAGTCTCTTCTGACATCCATTTGGTGTTTTCTTTCTCTCCTGTCTTTTTAATGACCTCTTGCTTTCTTCATGTATGATGTCCTTGATGTCTGGTCTTCAGTTATTAGTGTTCAGTGCATCAAATCTATTATTGAAATGGTCTCTAAATTCATGTGGGATATACTTTAGTTCATCCTTTGGCTCTCGTGGACTTGTTCTAATTTTCTTCAGCTTCAACTTGAACTTGTATACGAGCAATTGATGGTCTGTTCCACAGCCATCCCCTGGCCTTCTTCTGACTGATAGTATTGAGCTTCTCTGTCATCTGTTTCCACAGATATAGTTGATTTGATTCTTGTGTATTCCATCTGGCGAGGTCTACATGCATAGTTGCTGTCTATGTTGTTGAAGGAAGGTATTTGCAAGAAATAAGTCATTGGTCTTGCAAAATTCTATCATGCCATCTCTGTTGTTATTTCTATCACCAGGCCATATTTTCCAATTGCTGATCCTTCTTTGTTTCCATCTTTCACATTCCAATCACCAGTAATTATCAATGCATCTTAATTTCATGTTTGCTGAATTTCAGACTGCAGAGGTTGGTGAAAGCCTTCAATTTCTTCATCTTTGGCCTTAGTGGTTGGTGCATAAATTTGAATAATAGTCGTATTAACTGATCTTCCTTGTAGGTGTATGGATATTATCCTATTACTGACAGTGTTGTACTTAAGAATAGATTTTGAAATGTTCTTCTTGACCATAAATGCAATGCTGTTCCTCTGCTATTTGTCATTCCTGGCATAGTAGACCATATGATTATCTGATTCAAAATGGCCAATACCAGCCCATTTCAGCTCACTAATGCCCAGGATATGAATGTTTATTCTTTCCATTTCATTTTTGATGACTTCCAGTTTCCTAGATTCATAGTTCATACATTCCACATTCTGATTATTAATGGATGTTTGCAGCTGTTACTTCTCACTTTGAGCCATGCCACATCAGCAAATGGAGGTCCCAAAAGCTTTACTCCATCCACGTCATTAAGATAAACTCTACTTTGAGACAGCACTTCCCCAGTGATATTTTGAGTGACTTCCAACCTAAGAGGCTTATCTTCCAGCACTATATCAGACAATGTTCTGCTGCTATTCAGAAGGTTTTCACTGGTCAATTTTTTCAGAAGTAGATGGCCAGGTCCTTCTTCCTAGTCTGTCTTCAGTCAGAAGCTCCACTGAAACCTGCCCACCACAGGTGACCCTGCTGGTATTTGAAATACTGGTGGCATAGCTTCCACCATCACAGCAACATGAAAGCCACCAGAGTACAACAAACTGACAGAGGAGTGGAAGATAATATAATAATAATAGTTTCTTTGTTAATGGGAAGTGTTTAGCAACCAGCTCTGTAGGGGAAATCTGTGATTATCAGTGTAGATCCTCACAGCATGGCTGATTTCATACTACCAATGTGATGACACTGAGCACAGAGAGAAGCCCCCAGTCAACTCTTGTGGCTGGCACAAGCCAGCTCTAGCACACTACCGTAGAAAATTATGAAATATCCAATGTTCAGACTTTCTCAGTTGTCTCATAAATACCTTTTTAGCATTGGTTTGTTAAGGTTAAGATATAAATGATGTTCATCACACATTGCTTTTAGTTGATATGTCTCTTTTAATCTAAAGATTTTTTTCTTTTTTTCATTCCATTTATTTGTTGAAGAAACTGGATTATTTGTACTCTAAAATTCCCTACTTTTGTTTTGTTTTGTTTTGTTTTGCTGGTTAGATCCTCACTGTGTTAGGTAACATGTTCCTATACTCCCTGCTTTTTTTTTAAACTGAGAGGTCTTGGTGCTTGACAGGATTCAGGTTAGGGTTTTTATTTGTTTGCATGTATACTTCATCTGTGGTGCTGTGTGCTTCCTATGCATCATATCCCAGGCACATACTGTCTGGTTGTTTCTGTTCTCATAATTGATCAGTAGGTTCAGGTGTTGTTTAGCCCAATCCATCCATATAAACTTTCCCGTCAGCCTTTTACCTAATGGTTCTAGCAGCCATTGACAATTATTGCCCGCATTCAGTTGTTGTTATTAGTTGCTATTGAGTTGGTTTTGACTTATGATGACCTTAGGTAAAATAGAACAAAATGTTGCCCAGTTCTGCACCATCCTCATGATTCTTGGTGTGTTTGAGTCCATTCTTGTAGCTATTGTGTCAATCCATCTCACTGAGGGTTTCCCTTGTTTTTGCTGACCCTCTGCTTTACCAGACATGATGCCCTTTTCTAGTGATTGGTCTTTCCCATTGACATGTCCAAAGTAAGTGAGCCAAAGTGAGCTGAAGTCTTCCCATCCTCACTTCTAAGGCGCATTCTGGCTGTAGGGCTTTCAAAATAGTATTCTAATTAGTATAATTCCTTCTGTGTTTATTTCTTGAATTCTACATAGAAGACTTTTCCTTCATCAGAATTGTTTTGTTACCCTGAAGTACAGAAAAGTCAAGACAAAAATACAAGTATTTTATTCTATCAGAATTATGGGTGCCCTCCAAAGGTAGCCAGAGAGTGTTGTTGCTCTTTGTATGGTTATGAACATACATTTAATATGCTTCAACTTCATTGCAGTCATTTTTTTGATGCTCATATTGACTGTGACCAGTGGCTTCGAGTTGGCTCTCCTGTCATCTCAGAATGACTCTAGGAGTCTTTGAGATCATCTTTGCCTTTTGGTCTTCTAGGATGTTGTGCATTTCTTACCACTGACCTGGGATCATATATTTCTATAAGAATCTCTGAAGGGCCATGTTTTTGTGTTGAGAAGTTTGAGCATTTCCCTGAAAGTTATGGGGAGCCAGTTAAAGCAGGAACAGGAGTCCAGTGACTAGCTGTGCATTTCAGAGGGGTTCTTTGACAGCCATGTGGGCGTGTATTATAGTGGAGCTGCACCAGAGCATTGAAAGAATCAGCAGTCTGCTGTCATAACACAGAGAGAGAATTGGTAAAACAGACATTTAGTCAGACTGTTCAGGAGGTGCTGGCTGGTTGATGTGGGATGTTGAGGGAGGGGTCAAGAAGGCATTGTCCACACTTTTCACCTTTTTGGCTGAATGGATTGTGTTGCTGTTCTGAAAGGAGAAAGAGGAGTTGGGGAGAGCTGTGGTCAGCACAGTTTAGGTTATGTTGAGTTTGAAATGTCTGTTGACCTCCAGATGGAGACTCCTGGTAGGCATGAGGGTAAACTGCTGGAGTGCTTTAGGTCAGTGCTAGATCAGCAGATGTATCAGCAAAAGTCTCTCAGATAGTGTAAAAAGGAAAAAAGAAGAGAGGGCCAAGGATAGACAGAATCTGGCATAGATGGGCTGGGATTCCTGAGATTAGGAATCTAGTTCAAGCTCCACCATGAATTGATGAGTGAGTCCCACAAGCCATTCACTTTTCTTGACTTCAGCTTTTCCATCTAAAAAATAAGAATTTTTCCCTGGCGAGCACTTAAAAAGAAACATGAGTTAGGTTTGGAAAACAAAAACGGCTATTTATATACTTCATTAAGCATGATGGTCATTATGTATTCCTTTTTTACTCCTCTCTCCAAGGTTCTTGGGGCATGCCTGTGGTGAAGGCTTTGGGTGGGAGTTTCAGATTTTCTTCTCTCCAGCCTGAACCTTCAGCCTGGGTTTTGCTCTTGTCTCTGCCACAGCCAATTCAATCTGTCAAGCCAATCTGCATGGAGAAGCTGCCTGTGAACCAAGGTAGTGGGCAGTCCACAGGCTACACACTGTATGAAACTTCCATCTCTACTGGAGGCATCCTCACATCAAGGGATAATGTTCAAGATCGGGCTCAGGTGGGGAACAATAGGCTGGTTTTGGTGGCACTTCTCATATGATAACCCAACTCTGTTGCTGAGGTGAATGTCTAAATGGTAGTTAAATCATTTTTTGACTTTCAAAAAATGACCACTGTTTCTTTAGCCTATGTCCCTTCAATGAAATATTTTAAATGTATGCTACTGCTACTGTATGTCTAAGGTATGTAAACACCCCTGGGGAGGATCCTTATGGGAACTGATGGTGTTTTAAGGAGACTTGGGAAGAATTTAAGCCCTAGTATTTACATAGCATATTTCAGTTGGCTCTTCTTATTTAATTCTGACAACACCCATCTGAGATATTTGTTACAAATGAGGAAACCTCAGAGAAGTTTAATGACTTTCACAGGATATTTGACTAAAAGTGGCAAAGTCAAGACTGTAGGCTTCATCGTCCCACTCCAAGTTAAGACTGCTTTCACTTGGTCTTGGTCACATTTTCTTGCTCATCATGGTTTCTACGCTCTCTCTATCATCTTCTTCCAAGGCTTTAAGGACTTCTTTTTTGTTTGTGACTCCAGCCCTTCCCTCCTTCTCCTCAGATGCAGACCCCTATTTCTTGCTGTTCTCTGGGTATTTATCTGTCTTCCATAGACTTCTCAAAGTCACCCTGTTCAAAACCAAACTAATTAGCTCCCTCAGTAAACCTCATCCTGTCTCCCTATCTTAGTTCCTCAGTAACCTGGATTGTATTTTTGTCTTGGTGACCCATTTCACAAGGAAGTATTTGGTCATACAGTAGGCGCTCAATAAATTATTGTGGAGTATATAGCCCTTGCAAATAGACTTTAGTAAGCTAAAACATGAATTCTGTGTTTTGTATAAGATTAACCTTTATATGTTTTTAATACTTGTGGGTTTTGTTTTTATAGTTTCCTAGTAAGATTGTAAAATTGAGAATTTTATAATCTAACTCAGTCTAAGGGATTAATTGTTTATCCTTATCTGATCTGGCATGGCTCGGGTGGTTGTTGTTGTTAGGTACCATCAAGTTGGTTCCAACTCCTAACAACCCTGTGTACTGCAGAACGAAATGCTGCCTGGTCTGTGCCACCCTCACAGTAATTGTTATGCTTCAGCCCAGTGTTGCAGCCACTGTGTCAGTCTATCTCGTTGAGGGTCTTCCTCTCTTTCACTGACCCTGAATTCTATTCTAAAAATTCAACTGTAAAATTGAAAATTTTTAAATCTCTAACTCAAACAATCTAAGGGGCAAATTATTTATCCTTATCTAATCCTGCATGGCTCGGGTGGAGAATGGCTTAATCTAGGGCTGAGGCAATGTGGTGGGGACTGGTGAAGACATGGATTTAGATTCAGATTATACCCTACAAACCAGACATAGTCTAGTAGCAACAGTCCAGATAAAATCTGGGAAAACCCGGCAGAATTATCGATCCACTGTGGAGGTGAGCCCACAGGGCGAGGTGGGCAGTAAAAAGAGCAAGTGCCACAACTATAGCCCATCTTTCCCTTTGTCATCATCTCTTTCACAGTGTTTGTTCCTTCTTGATCTTCTTGTTTTCCTCATTCCCTGTGGGTCTTCATTTCTTTTTTTTTTTTTCTCTCTCTTTTTCCTACACTGGAGCCAGGGCCGAGAGATGATGTGGCGCACTCCTCTCTGACTTAATCTCCTGCATTTTAGCAGCGTGCTGCTTTAATTCTACTCTGTGTTGTGAACTCACAGGAGTCAAAGGCCTAACGATTCCCTTAGACTTGCCCCCTTATTTTCTTTTAATGCCCCTCTTTCCCTTTTTCTTATGAGGATCTAATACTGCTTTCCTTCTTTTTGGCAGGTGTTTTTGGATGAAAAGTACATAGGAGTCCTGGATCATTCCACTGATCACCTGACCCTTCCCCTCAAAAATGTATGCAACCCCATTGCTAATGGACTGATAATTCTGGTAGCTGCCTGGACCGTGGACTTAATTGTAGATGTGGCTGGCCCTTTTGGGTTGCCCCTCGCAGAGGAGCCCACAGGGACTAAGGGGACCTGGGTGGGTCTCTGAGGTACGGTGTCTGTGCTATAGGTGGGCAGAGCTCTCCCCCCTGAATATTTGCTGCTTGTGAAGCTCTGGGTTGGTTACCAGCCCCGACAGAGTGTCTGGTAAAATGCTCAATGGCTTTCCCTGAAAGAACTGGTACAGGAGAGGGGGATGAGCAGGAGGAGCACAGGCTTCCCTTGACCATGACCTGCAGTCTGCAGGCTCTGATGTGTCCTGTCCTGCTGTCGATCAGCCCTGCAGTGTCCTCATCGTAGTTTCAGGGGGGAACTTGGGCAGTCTGTAGAAGGATGGCAAGGGGTGCCCACTCTGGCCGATCTGTCTTGGGCAGAGCTACAGGAACTACTGGACTCTAAGTATCCTGGTGGAGAATCAAGGCCGGATTGCCTATGGGCAGAATATCAATAAGGAGAGAAAAGGTGGGCTCCTGAAGGGAGACGCTGAGACTCAGAGGTACCAAATTTCTGCTGCTCTTGCACCCGACTGAGGACCGTATGGTTAGTTATTCGGCTGCAGGAGAGCAGTATCTCTCAACCAGTGAACACCTGCGTGTAGAAGCTATGATGTAGCCTTGCTTTGCTGGAAAGGGACAATGGGGGTCCCTCAGGTGTGTTCTGAATGCAAGTCAGAGGCAGTGTACAGCCTTTCCTCTTTGGGGAGGGCTTTGACAGTTGTTTCACCAAAAGAAAGCTGAAGAAGAGAAACCTTGGAGTATCCCTTCCTAGCGTACTTGATACTTTCTTCTCTGGAGCCCCAGGCCTGCTGTCCTTACCCTGCCCCCAGTGCTCCCTGGGCCCAGAGCCATATATTCCTTCCTTCTTCTACTCCAAGTGCTTTGCCTACCTGACAGTTAGTTAACCTGAGCCCCTGTGCTTGCTAGACCTGACAGAAAGTACCTCCTATGTGCTCGTGTGGGAGATATAGGCACCACCTTAAGAGGTGTGCACTCAGAAAAGTTGTTGTAAGAGTCTGCAGAAACCTTCTATCCAGGTAAGGCCAGTAGTGCATCCTCCTTCAGGGGAACCCTGACCCCAGCCAGTATGCATCTCTGCATCCTGCTTGCTCCCTTTCTCCCTCTCTACCAGGTTTAACTGGGAACATCTACCTGAATAATTCCCCATTAAGGGGATTTAAGATCTTCAGCCTGGAGATGAAGGCTAAATTCATACAAAGGTGGGTACCCAGGCATTGGCTCAAGGTGATGCTCAGAGAGGGTAAGCATTTAGAGATGGAAGGACCTCAGAGATCATCATCCTGACCTCTTTGTTTGCAGATAAGGAAGACTGAGACCCAGACATTAAGGAAATGACCCTAGGTTTCATACTTGTCTAGGGCAGAGTGGTGACCAACCTCATTCACCCCGCTGCCAGTCTCACACCTTATTTATGCATCATGCACCCTAAAGGCATATGCTTGTGCTCTAGAGAGGATACCAGGTTCTGGCAGGGGGAGACCTCCCCCAGAGGTCACCCTGATGCAATATAAAAAAAGGTACTAGCTGTCCACTTGCTGCTTGGCTTCTCTCTCAGGGACCTTCCTAACCTGTGGAAACCATTCCCAAATCACGTTTTGGGCCCTGCCTTCTTCCTTGGTTTCCTGAGAATTGGTCACACTCCCAGAGACACCTTCATAAAACTGGAGGTTAGTGAACTTTTCCCCTGCCTGAGACCCCTCCAACCTCCCATCCCAAAAGAACCTTTGAGAAAAAACCTCCTTGGTAAATGGGTCCCAACTTATGTCAGGGGATCTAAGCTCACAAGGACCTCAGCCACCCCACAGCCATCTGAGATGCCGTTCCTTCCCAGGTTTAACCAGGGAGGGAGTGGAAGCTTGCAAAGTTGGAGACGTGAGTTGTATTTTCTAGTGGGGATAGCTGTAGATCCACTGCACAAGGAATTCAGTCAAAGTGATCCACCAGTCACCAGACATACTCCAAGGAGTTGAAACCCTTAACTCCTTAATGAACTAATCAGCCAGACTGTGGTGGGAATGTTGTCACTGGGATTCCAAGACACACCTGGAATTCTACAACTCTGCAGTTTTTTGGGACCAGTCTGTTTTGGTAAAGGGAAAATCCCTCTTCTGGCTTGAGGCAGATATGTAGGGATCAACCAGACACCAAACTCATTGCTGTCGAGTTGATTTCGACTCATAATAGAACTGCCCCGTAGGGTTTCCAAGGAGTGGCTAGCGGATTTGAACTGCAGACCTTTTGGTTAGCAGCCCAGCTCTTAACCACTGCGCCATCAGGGCTCCAGGTAGGGAGTAGGGAGATGAGTTAGAAATCAGTGCCCTCTTTTCTGAGGCCTGGCTGCTGAGCCAGCCCCAGTCTAGGGACGGGAGCATAGAACTTTCCAAGTCACTTCTGATCTAGGGTCTTAGTTGGTACAGAAGTGTGTGAGCCCTGGTGAATCTTGCCTGGGGATGTCTAGGATTTCACGGGTCTATGGTGTGTGAGGTGTGTGTATATGTGTGTGTGTTTCACCCCCAGTGTCTTTACCTCTAGAATTCAGATGCTCAGTCTTCCATTGCAATCTTTTCCAGGGCTGGACAAAAGGAGTAATTTTCATCAATGGACAAAACTTAGGGCGCTACTGGGAGTTAGGTCCCCAGGAAACTTTTTACCTTCCGGGACCCTGGCTTCATCCAGGAAAAAATGAGGTGAAACTACTGCCCATTCCAGCCTCCCATTCCACTTCTCTTGGACTTGGACTGTGCTTTGCCTTCAGAGGCATAATATAAACCTTACGGCCTCCCTGCCTTTTTCTTCTTGATAGATCATCGTGTTTGAGGAATTGAAAGCTGGCCCTGATATCCAGTTCACAAATATATCTCAGCTAGGTATGGCATTCTGAAGGGTAATTTGTAGCATCTGGGACCAGTCTTTTTGGATGTTTCTCAAGCTGCCCTTCCTCCCTACTGGAAACCGCCTCTCCCTCCCAGGAGTGGGCATGTGACCCACAACGGGCCCATTGGTCTTTCTTTTTCAGGATACTGAATCTTGAGTGGAATGACATAAAGTAGAAAATCAGTTGAGCTGAGTCATCTCAGCCATGGGGCTGTAAATAACCTGCCTATCAGTCCTGAACACCAAGGCAGCTGGAACTGCGCCTCTGCTCATCCCAAGGGCTGCTTAGGGTTGGTCGTCACCTCCTAACCTACCAGGACATTCTGCTTGTGGCTGAAGTTAGCTAACCTCTTTCTGATGCTTACAAAATGTGCCTACCTAATGGGCAATGTTTGTCATATTGCTGCAATAAAAGCTGTTGATCATCAAATAAAATGTTGATACAGTGAGAAGAAGCTCAGAATACTTGACCTCACAAATGTAAATCTGAAGCAAACATGATCTTTCTAAGAAATCAAATAAAATGTAAATGTTAACATAGGCAATACATACACACTGTGTTTTCTGTGCAGAAAGAAATACTTTCCTTTTACTCCACAATGCTCTTTTCATACTCAAGTGAAAACCCTGGTTCTTTGAGACTTAAGCCAAGCAACTGATCCATCCTCTGCCTCTCGTTTAGCCATTTCCTGGTTACCCACCTCTGGCCCCTGACTCCAGCTCTTGTTGGTTCCCTGTTCTACTTCCGCTTCTGTGAGTGGCCTCAACCCTAGCAGGGGCAGAGAGAGCCATCTGTGTAGCCGGCTGTCATAAGGGTGCCAGTCCAAAGCACTCAGGCCACCAGGAGACCAGGCTCCTTTTTGCTTGTCCAAACTCTCACCCCGGCAGCGATGGCAGCATAAGAGCAGGCAAGATGATGTGGAATAGGGAAGCATTTACTTATTTTGTATACATACCCAAGGACCTAACAGAGAAGCGGCAGGGCTGAGCCTGTCTTCTCGCGGAGAGCTTGCAGGCTTCATTGACCTCTTTAATGCATAACTCAAATTCCTTTCCACATAATTTCACCTTTACTGCACAGCCCTTTTCCAAACTCCTTCTCAGACTTTCCCCTAAGGGGCCAAGGGGAGCCAGCTAGACTACTTTTGCCCTACCTCTAATTACAATGTATTATATTTGCACCTGTTTCTCAACATAGTAGTGCTGTGAGATGGGCTCTGTTGCTGAAGCAACCAGAGAAGTCATATACTACCCAGTTACAGCTGTATTTTCCATTCCATGTGGTCAAACTCCAGCCTGTTTCTTTTTTTTTTAAATTAATATATTTTTTTAATTTTAGATGGCAGTATACACAGCCAAACATGCATCCGTTCACTGTTTCTACATGAACAGTCCAATAACATTGGTTACATACTTCACAGTATCACCATTCCCACTATCTCTACCCATATTGTTTCATCACCATTAATTTAGGCTCTCTGTTCCTTAAAGTTCTCATCTGTGCTTTAACTATTGTCAGATTAAGCTCATATAGACAATTCTTTTTTTTAATTGTGCTTTAGATGAAGGTTTACGGTGCAAATTAGTTTCTCAGTAAACAATTAATACGCACATTGTTTTGTGACATTGGTTGCCAACCCCATGATATGTCAATACTTCCTCTTCTTGACCTTGGGTTCCCCATTACCAGCTTTCCTGTCCCCTCCTGCCTTCTTGTCCTTGCCCCTGGGTGTGCCTATTTAGTCTCATTTTTGTTTTATGGGCCTGTCTACTCTTTGGTCCAGCCTCTTTCTTATGATCCTAATAATAATTCTGCTATCCTCTTTTCCCCTAAATTTGCTGCTCCACAAGTTCAGTTCAATTGGTTAATTTTACCTGGATTTACTAATGTAACTAATTTTATTTCTTACCATTTTAATACATTTTCCTCCTCCAATACGATATATTTACTTTATGATCAGTGATATCCACTCATTAGTCTTCCTATATTCGTCTAAGCCTTTCCACCATCATAGAATATCCCTGCAGTGTCTTATGTCCTTGGCCTCCTCAACACCAGTGACCATCACCTTTGCTCTACTTCAGCTTTCCATGTTCAAGACACTCCCTGGCTCTTATCAGCCAGAATGGCTCCACTTCTGAAATGTAATTAAATTTACATATCCATTGTCAAGCCACAGCAGCCTATCCTTCCAGCTCCCTCACTCTTGGAAGCTACTCCTATTATAATACTATTCTTCATACTCAAAAAGCTTCCATTCACTTGGTCCATCCCCTTCCCAGCTTTCTGTACCCTGTAGCTGCATTTCCTTCCCTTGTCATCATATCCATCATGGTCCATCTCATTAGCCCTCTTGTCAGTTCTTTCAGGGAACCTGCACTTGTCTTTCCATCTCCTGGCCTCCATAGTGAGGTCAGGGCTTATCCTCCATGTCCTTCTTCAACACTTCATATTTAAGGATATTGTGGGTTGAATCATTGCCTGATTGGAAGGTAAGTTCAAGGGAGTATAGGTTTATTTTGTCTCTTCTTCCCATTGAGTAAAATACAGCTCTGCTTTTCTTTCTTCCTCCCCTCCCACCCCCTTCTCTCCCATATCTGTCTGTCTCTCTCTCTTCTTTTTCTTTTCATGTGCCAGCCAAGACTACAGTTATTGCATACTTTTTTTCTCTTTCTACTTTTCCGCCAGTGCTGGAGTAAGAGCCCTTCTTTGCAATATCATGGTGAGATTAAACTCAGGTATGGGATTAAGGGAAAAATGGAGTAGGCCTCATCACTTTTTTGGAGGGTTGGAGGCTCTTTAGTCCAACTCGCTTAAAGAAAAAGATTTTTCATTGGTTTCAGATCAGCTGTTTGAGTTCCACATTGAGTTGGGGTCAAATCCCCAGCTAAGTAACTGTCTTGTGTATATATTTCTGTAGGATACTTCTTGACTCATGTGGCCATGGGCAGGATTTGGCCATTTTTAAGTCCTTGGCTAAATTCAATGAAAATGCAATCAGTCTCTCATCTCAACCTGAAACACCGCTCGGGAAAACCCAACTCTGGATCAACCCACCTGTTTAACTTCTCTCTTTTTTTTTCTGAAGTGGTTAAGGCATTTTATTTGTTTGTTTGTCTGTTTTTCACATTTACATATCACAGTTCTAAAATGCCTCCACATGTATAACCACTTTTAGATTTAGCTCCGTTCAACTAATGCTTGAAATGATTTGCCTATGGTACTCTATCAGGATTCTCAGATCCTCAACGGGTCTATTTGTTCTTTCAGCCAGCGTTTTGGTCTCTTACCTCCCATCTGGGAGAAACTTTCCTAAATTCACTTTTTCCTAAGCACAACCCCTAAGACTCAACCATTTCATAGACTTCATGATTGTGAATCATGCCCAAATTGTCTTACCTCACTCTTATCATCGTCTCTTTCACCCATCATCCTCTATAAACCCGGGGTCCGTTTTTACAGACCCCAAACAATTGAAACACTAATGGAGACTCCTGTCCAGAAACAGCCAGTTCTTCCTCATGAAGTATACTTCATTTGACTACAGAAACCATTAAGTTTTTCTTTAGTTTCCTTTACTTCTCCAGGCCTGGAACATCTCTAAAAAAGAGACAAGAATCTGAGGAGAATCTTCCAGAGCCTCCTGGAAACCAATTTCACAACTTCCCTTGAGATAACTCTATTTCCCAGGGCAGCTCCCCTTGTGGCTTGGTATTATGTAAAAGAGTGTTTTTGCTGAAAAGCCAGAAGGCTTTTCACTTCAGAATGTAATCCAGAGGGAGTTGTTTGGTCAGCCCAGGATACATTACAGTAATCAATGTCTGTTGACACTGAATTGTACAATGAAACAGAAGCCGTAAGAATAGTCACATCCATGCTGATCTGTGCCCCCACTTACATAAAAGGACTACTCAGGACATGCAATGTGGAAGCCTGTGTAGAGAAAGAGCACCTATATGTTAGCCTGATTAATTGAGGTTGATCTCTGCATACAGTGTAGAATTCTCTCTGGTAATATGAAGAATGTGTATAATGAGAAAATTTGGAAGACTTTTCCCTAGTTTCCCAAGGAATCCTGAGTTTTTGTGAGCATGCAACACCCCTTTCAGAAAGGGCAGATTTCACTTGTTCTTGGGCTGTGCTTGCTTTCCTTCAAGCAGACTGCCAATAAGCAGTAAGTCTAGCAGAAAGTGCAGTTGGGGGGAGTCAGAATACTAAGGTCTGATCCCTGTCTCTGGTATTCCACCAGGTGGGTAACTTTGGGCTAGTCAGTTCACCTCTGTGGGCCTCAATTTCCTTTTCTGTAGGATACATAGCTTGGATTAGACTCATTTCTGATTCTAAATTGACCCAATTTCCACACAGCTGTAAAATGGGCACTTTTTCCTTTTAACCTAGGCAGTCAAATTGTTTCTGGCAATTGTATACATATAAGTTGCTGTATGCCTGAGTCCATTCCGACTCATAGCGACCCTATATGACAGAGTAGAACTCCCCATTGGGTTTCCTAGGCTGTAATCTTTTTATTTTTTTTTATTGTAGTTTAAATGAAGTTTACATTTCAGGTTAGTCTCCCATACAAAATTTTATACATACATTGTTATGTGACCCTATTTGCTCACCCCATTCTGTGACAGCACACTCCTCCTCTCCACCCCTGATTCCCCATGTACATTTAACCAGCTCCTAACCCTCTCTGCCTTCCCATCTCACCTCCGGACAGAAGCTGCCTTTTTGGTCTCTTGTATCTACTTGAGCTAAGAGGCACACTCCTCACAAGTATCACTTTATGTCCCACAGTCCAGTCCAATCCCTGTCTGAAGAGTTGGCCTCAGAGATTGTTTTCGTTCTGGGCTGATAGAGAATCCAGGGGCCATGCTTTCTGGGGTTCGTCCAGTCTCAGTCAGACCATTTAGTCTGGTCTTCTTACTAGAATTTGAGTTCTGCACCCCATCTTTCTGCTGCTCCATCAGGGACTAACTTTTCTTGAATATATACAATAGCTGATGGTTTCTGCTGGAGAAAACTCATGTAAGTTTAAGTTTTCTCATGGGCCATACAGTCTAGAGAGTGGGGCAGATATTTGATCAATGAACAAATTAAACTTTAATTACAAATTGTAGTGAATACATTATAAAAAGGAACAGAGACTGATAGAATTTAAAATTGGGTGGTTAGGGAAGGCCTCCTGAGGAAGTAACACTTAGACCTAAAGAGCAAACTAGATGAGGAGTGGTGGTAGAATGTTACAGAGGGAAGTCCATATATGAGGCAATAGAAAACTTGATATGTTGCTAGGCTCAAAAGATGAGTGAGAGTGAGGTGTAGCAAGTGAGCCAGAAAATAGGCAGGATTTTATTGGCGAGATAGGTAGTAGTCAAATCATGTAGGATCTTCCAGGCCATGATAAGAATTTTGACCTACATCCTCAGAATAACAGGAGGCCACTAAAGAGTTAAGCAGGAGAAAGACACGATCATATCTGCAAAATGACTCTGTTGTGTGTGGAAAATGGGTTGAAGTAGGGCAAGAGTAGAAACCGAAAGCTCAAAGACAAGATTTGACAGACTGGGTGAAAATGCCTGACTGGTCCACGTGCTGTCTACATTTTATGGGATTCTATGGGGTCGTGAAGACGGGAAAGGAGGGCTGGCATCAGGAGACAGGGCATCATGCCTGAGGACACTAACCTTTCCTTGCCGCTAGCCTGTACTAGCCATACCCCCTGCCTGGTGGGAAGAGCAGCAAGAGAAGAAGGCTATCTGAGAGATTAACAAAGACTGAACACACCAAAAGAGACTTTTATAGACAAAACCAAAAACAAAACCAGGTGCTATTGAGTCAACTCCCATTCATGGTGACCCCATCTGTGTTAGAGGGGAACTGTACTCCGTAGGGTTTTAAATGGCTGATGTTTCAAAAGTAGGTCACCAGGCCTTTCTTCTGAGGCACGTCTGGGTGAACTCAAACCTACACCCCCTCAGCAGTCGAGTGCTTAACCATTTGCACCACATAGGACTCTCAAAGACGAAATAGGAAGCTGTGATTTCTCTGCACAAATGAATTGTAATGTGAATGTCCTTCCTTCATCGTTGAGTCTTTAGGGTGTATTCTGATGTTGGGCATTTAGTAGATGCTCAATTAAGTAAGTCGAATTTAGTTGCATTGAATATTTCTACCTAAATTTTTCCTAAAATGTCATCGGGATACTAAATGCTTGTGTATCAGAAGTGAGTTTTGGTCGCATTTTTTTTCAGGGTCAGGTTGCAGAAGTTGGGGACAGTCAGAGAACTCTGTCCCTTTCTCTGTCATACAGAGGCCCTGGCATAGTAGGATAGAACTCAGTCAACAAGCCTCCTAGCCTTCCAACCACAGGAACAGAAATCTGTTTAGGGAACATAGACTCTGAAACCATGTGTAACCTGGTAAGAGCTTAGCTGGTTTTAAGGAACTTTCTCACTTTTTCTTTTTTAGCGTCCTAAATTAATCCAGAAAATGCAAGTTGTTCTCACTTTTGACAAATGCTTGGAAGGAGGGAAAGTGAATCAGCACAGGGACATGGAAAGTCTTTAACTTTGTCACGCCTCTTTAGCCTTACTGTCCTTTAGATGATACCTTAACCTCAACTCCCATGCCCAGTGTGACACCATTGAGGACACATATGGCAACAGCAGTTCCAGAATCTCTCTGCCACCTAAAGTCCAGCCAATCGCTGACTCACCATCTGCAACTTTCTCGCTAGCATTTGGGTGAACAAATGTCTCACTTGTTCTGATTGACTAAGAGAAAGCTTGAGTGCTGCCCTCTGATTCTAAGGGACTACAAAACTGATCCCACAGAGAAACGTGCATTTTGAATGCAGAAACCATAGATTAATATGTCCTCTGACCCCAGAGCACCGTCCTCTGAAATCATTTCAGTAGCTCCTATGCAGAAACTGAGGACAGAACTTCCATGACTGTAGCAATGACCAGAGGAAGACTCTCCGGGGGACAGGCAGGCTGCCGTGCCCTCTATCAGCTGGCACATCACTGTTCATGCTTATGAAGCACTCTTGTAGTAGGAGTCCTTTTTGTTGAAAGTAGTTCATTGTCTTCTGTTTTCACAGATGTTTGCTGATGTTGTTGTTAGGTGCCATCGAGTCAATTCTGACTCACTGCTAATCTATGTACAACAGAATGAAACACTGCTCGGTCCTGTGCCATCCTCACAATCATTGTTATGCTTGAGCTCATTGCTGCAGCCACTGTGTCAATCAATCTTGTTGAAGGTCTTCCTCTTTTTCACTGACACTACTTTACCAAGCATGATGTCCTTCTCCAGGGACTGATCCCTCTTGATAACATATCCAAAGTATGTGAGATGAAGTCTCAGCATCCTTGCTTCTAAGGAGCATTCTGGTTGTACTTGTTCCAAGACAGATTTGTTCATTCTTTTGTTAGTCCATGGTATATTCAGTATTCTTTGCCAGCACCACAATTCAAAGCCGTCAATTCTTCTTTGGTCTTCCTTATTCATTATCCAGCTTTCACATGCATATGAGGTGCAAACACCATGGCTTGGGTCAGGCGCACCTTAGTCTTCAAGGTGAAGCATTTGCTTTTCAACATTTTAAAGAGGTCTTTTGCAGCAGATTTGCCCAATGCAATGGATCACTTAATTTCTTGGCAGTTGCTTCCATGGGTGTTGATTGTAGATT